TGGTAAAATAAAAACATTCCTATTAAGTCCTGAAGCTTGCTCTAGGAATCAGCTTCCCCATCTTTCTCCTTTGAGAACTTAATATAAATGAGCTAACCTCTTTAATTTGTTTCCTCCTCCCCTTGTAGAGATAATGGGAAAACAATCCAGCAATGAAGTGAAGGAGAGAACAGCTTCTCAAACTGGAGGAGGAGCTTCCCGATCCTGTAAGTATCTATTCCTGTTTCCATCAGTTTCCTACCTGGCAGCATCCTTAGATTCCCACTGCTCACAGCACACAGACCAGCGAGCCCAGCCCGGAGGACTGTGATGTTCGTCTGTGGGATTAAGAAAGAGTTCCCGTTTCTTAAAGCATGACTTGTGACTTAGTTGAAGTACTTTAAGAAACAGCTGACAGGATGCTTTCTTCCCCCAATACGTCATTGTTGTTAGGTGCTGTCAAACTGGTTTTGATTCACAGGGACCCTCTGTACAACAGAACAAAACACTGCCCAGTCTTGCACCATCCTCACAATCGTTGCTATACTTGAGCCCATCGTTGCAGCTACTGTGTGAATCCGTCTTGTTGAGAGTCTTCCCCTTTCTCACCGACCCTCTACCAAGCATGATGTCCTCCTGCAAGGGCAGGGCCCTTCTGACAACATGATAGATGATAATAACCTCATTGTTAACTTCCCAGAACTCAGTTCTGCTTTTAAGTATTTGCATAGAATTGTCCGTATTTGTACTGAAAGCCTGCTTGAGGGAGGTTCTGAAATCTTTTTGATAAAGGAAGATGTAATCTTGTGTAACAGACCAAAAAACCCACTCAATAAAAATTGATCTGTTAGTCAATTCTGACTCATGTGATCCCCGTTGGATTTTGAAGGTGCTAAATCTTTACAGAAGTAGATTGTCCCATTTTCCTTCTGTGCAGTGGCTGGTGGGTTTGAACCACCAACTTTCTGGTCAGCAGTCAAATGGCTTAAGCTCTGTGCCACCAGAGCTCCTTTGTGTAATAGAAGGCCACCCCA